GTTTAGCCCTATCTGATCATTAGTTTTAGTATTCAGCCATTGGTAGTGACACCTTACATGTTTGGTCACTCGAGTTCACCGCAATATAAGTGAAGTTGAGAGGTAACATGATGTTAGGGAACGACCTTGCAGGAACGGTAAACTCCGCAGTGTCGCCAGTACCGACGAGCCGGTTGGTGTCAAGATCGTAAACACTAGCATGCAAACGAGTGAATTTAACAGGAAGATAGCTGCTTTGGGTGTTAAGTTGCAGGGATGCAGAAGCAGGAAATGAAAAGTTGGTAGGTGCACGGGAGAATGTGACGGGAATGGTTTTTGCCCAAGAGCCAGTGGCATTGACTAGAGGTACGGTGTTGAAAGAGAAGCCTGGTACACGGGGTATCGTGAAAGCAAGAACAACGCCAATTCTATCGCCACAGTCAAAACTTGGATGAAAATGATATAGGAAAACACATACGCGCAGCAGAGTCCGAACAAGACGAAAACCAAAACTCTCCGAGTGAGGTATTTCCCGAAGAGACCTCGTTCGCCTCGATTCCATGATTTCCAAAACTGCTTTCGAGCTTCCTGTTTCTTTTCTCTCCTGCCTGATTTTGTCATATCTCTCATTTCATCTTTACCCCACTCTGCACCCAAAGCCGGCACTGTGACCATCTCTACTTTGTCTTCGGCAACAGAAGAGGCTGATTTTGGGATTGTAGGCGTTGGAGGCAGCTTGCTGTAACTATCATCAACATGGTCTTTAAGTATATGCCAGTAAGCAGATCAGAATTGTAGCGTACCCTCCTTGCGTTTGAGGCTGACCCATCCCATATGCATTGCTGTATCGAGGTCCAGCATTATTGAAGTCGGCGTAAACATCCCAGGCCTCTGCATCACCAGCATCTCGTTCCTCGTCTCGACCTCCTTTCAACGGTTCTTCTCGACCTCCAGGATAAAAAGAGCCCCTGTTGTAGCCAGCGGACCCTCGAGGTGCAGAATTGAGATAGTCGACTGAATTCCTGTCTGGCTGAAAGAATGAAGAGGCGTCATCTCGACCTTTGACTGCCTGCCCATGAGTCTGTGCATATTCTTGATTCAAAGCATCGGCTGAGCTTTTTCTTGCACCATAAAACGAGGAGGTTGACTTTCTGTCGTAGTCCATGGTCGTCGAAGAGTTGAGAGGTGTAAGCTTGGTGTAGGTTGTCCGCGTTGGTCCACCGATGCTGACATAATCATCTCACAGACCTGCCTCCGAAGCAACTCGAAAGCATGGCAATTTTTCTTTGGAGATGCTTCATCTGCTATATTTCACAATGGCTTTGGTTTAGTCTCAATTTCAGTTTTAACGTCCCTTATGTCGACATTTCTATTTGAAGCTATGCTCGATCAATTGTCCAAAGCTCTTTCTTATCTAAGAGGCAGGGCATTTTACACCATTATTGCTGTCTATGTGACCAGTGCTGTGAAGGAATGTGCAAGAGTCGCGAGCGCTTGGCCTCAGATTACGTCTACCACTATTTCCTCTAGCCACCGATACGATGAATTCTGAGAAAGCGACGCCGAATGTATCTCCAACGGAGCCGTTCCCCGAGATACCAGGCATTTATCGAGAAGACAACCGGGGGCAAAAAAGCTGGGGTGTGGTAGTTGAGCATCTGTCCGCAAAAGAAAAGGAGCGATGCGACATTTGGAAAGATGAAGTTACCAACATACTGATTTTCGTAAGTCGATAAATTATATAAAATTAGCTGAAGATTGAAACCATGTCAGGCCGGACTTTTCTCAGCAGTTGTTACTGCATTTATCATCGAATCCCTCCGAACTCCTCTTGTCCAAGATTGCGGCGAACTTGGAGATTATTACAAACACAACAATCGGCGCACCTACTATTCTTCCCCAACCTACAGCTGCATTCACTTCAAGCTCCCCTAGCAAAATCGTCAACGCGCTATGGTTTTTGAGTCTGATACTCAGCCTTGCCTCAGCGCTCATCGGCCTTGTTGCTCTGCAGTGGCTCCGAGAACACCTCCGTCCGTCAACCCGGAATATACCTTTGAGGACACTGCCCGCCATAATTCAGATGCAGTCTGAATCACTGGACGCCTACTACGTCCCTCAAATATTCACCACTCTCCCCGTCCTTCTAATCCTCGCCATTATTCTCTTCTTCATTGGGATGATTGAGTTTCTTTGGAATATCAACCACACAGTCGCGTATCCATCCATGATCACTATATCCTTTATCCTTGCTTTCATTCTCTACACCACGCTTCGTCCGGGACTGCAAGGACGGCCCCGCATTGGAATTTCTTACATTCCACAAAAAAACCGAGATTCACTTCCAGCGATCCCTTGCCCTTATAAGTCACCTCAATCATGGGCTTTCCTCCAGGCGATCGCTTTCCTCTTCGAAATCTTGAGATCTCGTCATCTTCCTGCGCTTCCTAGCACTTACGCGGACAAACATGTCCGAAACAAGCTCAGAAACTGGATGGATTGGACCGTCTCATGGCCACGCCAACGAGATATTGACTACAACCGCACAACGGGCGACCAACATTCTTTACTTCAACCCTTCTGCAATTCCAAGCTCATATTCCCCCCGGTCTACGATACAGTCAAAGCTTTGACTCAAACCAAAAAAGACTTCTCTTTGACAGACAACCGTAACTGGGAATTGTCTTTGAGGGAACTCGATTACGTGTTCAGAGATTTCCTGGATTTCGATCGTGGGTCTCATGGTTTCCACCCTGACCTCGTTGACTACGTCCATTCGATTTTAGAAGAGCCAGAAATCCCCTTTTCTCTTCCCAAGAATACACTTTCTCAAGCAGAACAGGAGCTCAAACACAGTAATGCAAATATTCTATTCGCCCTCTCTGGTGTAGCAAACCTGAACGATGTTTCAAATTCTCTCTCGAACGAAATGATCGCACCACTATTCGATCTAGTATCACACCGTTGCGCTCAACTTGGCCAAAGAATCGAAACTTTAGACACAAGGTTGGGTCCAATCGCTCTTGTGTGGCACCATGCAACTAGGTATACCTTCAAAGGCTCAGATGAGGCGTGTGAAGAATCAGGTGCGCTGTTTTGCAAACGACTTGGTTCGACGGTTGACAACAATGACAGAGCATAAGGCAGCTGAAAAGCTCCTTGACATCGTTGATCGAATCTTCCAACATGCTCGCGATGCGGAGATTGGGATATCAAATACCCTCGGCACCTCACCATATGTCAAAACGGTGCTGCATGCTGTCGCAAACATCATTGTGGACCGCATATCCCCGTGGAGTTTCAGTGACGCGATAACGGTGTTTACTACGCAAAAAAAACGATGGGATCTTGACTTCTCTCCATGATGCTCTTGTACCGCAGGACGCTCAGAAACCATATCCCTTCCTCATCGCTTCTATATATGCACACTTTCTACTGGTCCAAGTTTCTCCTCATTTTAAGCGTAGCCCGGTCTACAAGCGAACAAAAGCGTTCGACGATCTGGCCGCAACCTTGAAGCACATTTATACTGGTCCCAGCGCCAATCCCGAGCTACGCCAACTTCAGGAGTGGATCTTTCCTGCGTCGTTGGAGGCGGATTTTAAATGGGTATACCTCGACCCCCAGTACGATGAAGATAACAAGAATGCCAAGTACAACATTCTAAGAATTAAAGATATAGAAAGTGAAGATGACAAAGATGATGAGGCCGACAACCACGATGACGATGAAGACGACGATGAAGACGACCATAAAGACGAAGATGAAAAGGATAAATATGAAGATGATGATGAAGATGATGATGAAGACGACGAAATTGAGCAAATGAGTTCCATCGCCGGCGCACTTCGCGAACTCGCCGTTATTCTGGAACGAGAGAAAGAACCCCGCAGAAAGAACAAGGAGGCGTTGCATGATTCGATTCAAGTGCCACAAGGTAAGTTTACTTTGTCTTTGCTTTCTTTTAGATGATTCCTCTTACCACGGATGTGCTTTCTCTCCGCTGTAATTTTATCAGCGACCACGTCTGGTCTCGTCAACACTGATATCAAGAGCTCTTCGGCCAAGTTTGAGCCTTTCTTAGCCGACGATCCTCGTAAACAGGCGGTGACCTCGACAGCTTTCGAAGGCCAGTCGCCATCAATTGACGAAGTTGATTCGAAAATCATTGAGGAGATGAGACAGATCCCGCCGTTGATTGGTCCAACAACTGAAAGTGGTGATGCTGTCGTCGAGATGGGAGTAGGTCCCTCTAGTATTTTTTGACATGTTTCATGCCAGTCCCATTTACGTTTTCTCTACTCTATACATGTATTTCTTGCTTTCTTTTTCTTCTGAGGATTGTTTTTAATTTCTCGGACAGTCTATATAGATAGCTATCTATCTGGCTGAGTCCTGACCGAGTACTCTAAATCAGTGTGCAATTACCAATTCTCCTTCGTTCGCTGTCAGACATGTGTCCGTAATCTATGGAAGATTTATATTCTCGTAGTAATATATATGGTTCTTGTATTCGGCAACCTCCAAGGTGCAGAATCAAGATAGTACGTAGGCCACTGAATTCCTGCTGGCTGAAAGAACGAAAAGGAATCATTTCGGCCTTTGATTGCTTGTCGGGTGTCGGCATATTCCCAATTTAGAGCTTTTTTTTTGCACCATAAAACGACGAGGTTGACGCCGCTACACTACTATTTTGGTGGATATGGATTCACGGGTTCAGTGGGGCATACTAAACGTAAAGCTTTAGTACATACAGTCTGACAAAGTTGAGGGGTACGACACCATTTTGATCAGCAGAACGAGCCCACCATCCATGGCCCTCCATGCGAAATGAAGAGTCTTTGGAGCCGAGTTGCCAACTTTGATAGCGAAGCTTTTCCTGGTTCAACCTCGGTGTGCACGCATGCGACAGCTACGAGCTGCGCCGACAGTCTGTTGCTTGTCAAGTGCTGGAATTAGCGCCGAAACCAACTGGTTGGGATTTGTAAGAATATATTATCAGACTGGGACCTACGTGACACGGTGCTATAGTGTAGTGGTTATCACTCAGGATTTTGAATCCGATTTCCTGAAACCCAGGTTCGAACCCTGGTAGCACCTCCATTTTCGACTTTTTTGGTGCTTTGTCATCTCCCACTATGCCCTTCTCCAAGTTCAAGCTCAATGACGGCAACGAGGTAAGTGTAGAGCTAATACCAATTGTAAACTTATTTATCTCGATTTCGATAGATTCCTAGTATTGCTTTCGGTTCTGGAAGCGTTAATAAAGGACATGACATTCACGAATATGTAGAACAAGCCATAGAAGCTGGCTTTTCCCATCTCGACACGGCTCAATGTCAGGCCGAACTTCATTTTCTCTCAGGCATTCTCTCAATCTGGTTTAGTTTACGAGAATGAGGATTCCGTCGGCCAAGCCATTCGTGAAAGTGGCTTGGACAGAAACGAGCTATATGTCACCACAAAGTGGAGTTTGGGCAAGGTCGACGACGCAATTCGTTCCAGTTTGAGTGCAGTACGTGGTATACGCGTATTTTTCATGCGAAACCTAATCGGGCACTTCTGCATTTATCCTTAGCTCGGTTTGACATATGTGGACCTTTATCTTGTACACGGCACCTGGCTACTCCCAGACGACAATGACATGCATCTCTTCTGGCGTAACATCGAAAGAATCAAAAAGGCCGGCCTAGCAAAGTGCGTCAATGAGTTTCTGTGAAATTCCACTCTGATACTGAACATATCAACAGGAGCATTGGCGTTAGCAACTTCAACTTCGAGCAGCTTCAATCCCTCGTCAAGATTGCCCATATCAAACCCGCCGTCCATCAGGTACCGCTTATTCCTCATCCACAATCGCTCCGCCATGAAGTCTGAAAATGTACTCTTAGATTCGCCTAAACCCATATAACTATCAAGAGATGAAGCCACTCCTCGAATACCATGCAAAGCATGGCATTATCACAGAAGCGTACTCAAGCCTAGCGTGTGTTTCTCGTCATTGCTGTCTCTCGGTGGTTGTTAACCCCACAACCTTTTCAGACCTATCACTCGATACCCTGGTGGTCCTGTCGATCCAGTTCTCGAAATGATCGCAAGCAAAAGGAAAATAGCCACTTCTCAAGTCATTTTCCTGTGGGTGAAAGCGAAAGGCGCAGTGGTTGTCACGTAAGTCCTCTCCATGTAGTAAATATTGATTCGTCTGACATTAAACTGAACAGTACATCCTCAAAGAAGGAACGTTTGCGGGAGTACATAGCTGTTGGAGATCTTGGTGGGGCATTTTTCATGATACTAATTTTCGAACCCACTGACGCGCTCCGCGCTCCCTTGAAGATGATTTGACAGAAGAGGAGGTCAGGAGCATCGACGTCGCTGCCTCAAAGTTTGAACCTCCAAGTGGCTTAGACGGCAAGAGAATGGTGGTAAACAAGAAACTCGTACTTTTACTACTGCTTTTTAGTGTCCTCGTGTCTGCTTTCATCTTTATCTTCTAGGGTTAGTATTAGCGAAGTTGAGTATTTGTTACTCTGTTCTGCGCAATCTCTCGTATGATCATATTTCGAATTCTAGGTGAGCGTAACAGTAGGTTTTATTCATAACTAATGGGTGTCGGAACCTCTGGAGCATGGATTTTGACGAAGCTGCTTCCTGTCTACCGTGATATTGATTGCTCTAAATGTTGATGTTAATGGGAGTGCAGCCGACGACGATCAGGCCCTCTAAAAACAAAGGATGTTGAAGTAAGGTGGAAAATCTGATTGGTGGTCGATGGAGACGTACCATAATGGTTATTCTCGCAGCAGACGGGCTGGGAGGAACATTGAGCGCCGCTACCTACACCAACTGCTGTGATGGGAGAGCACTGTGTGCCAACATTCCCTGTGACGGGAATATTGATTCCAAACACTTGGTGAATCAAGTTGGCTGTGTTAGAGTTGGATTGGTGCACGTCGTTGCCTATGTTTAGGAGATAGGTTTGTTAGTCAAAGCTCAGATTCTCGATGATCTCAACGACGAGCTGGGACGTACAGCACTGGACGGGGCCGGTGTTACAAGAGTTCTTGATATCCCTAGACTGGACAGGTATGTGGACAGCAGCGACAACAACGGCGAGGGTAGCGGTGAAAACTATGGCAAGTTTGGAGAACATGGCTGATTAAGAAGGGTGGTTGGGGAAGAGAACTGGGTTTGTAGGTTAAGGAAGTTGCTCTTGTTGAGTGAAGAACCATGACTGAGTACTCGACTGTTTTATACCAGATTTTCTGCGTTATGGCACATGTAACGATACTTCGGTCCTAGGCTCAAATTCTAACATGTGGACGAAGCTACAAGGCAGCGGAGCTGAAACCGAACGTTAGCGTATCGTTGAATGTTACTAGTGGCAAAAGCCGCAACAGTAGCTCCCGTTGAATGAATTTAAAAACACAACGAGGCCTCAGGGATCCTCGAAATTTGCTGTTCCGAGACAAATTTGAAAGGCAACGCGTTTGTCAAGACAGCGTTCCATCACAAGTTCGACCAAAAGTTTAGTATCATTGACTACATCATCTTGAGCTCTTAGTTCCACGATTCGAAACGTGCATTATGCAGACGCATTTTTTTTAATACATTTGACAGCCCGTCGCAAATTTTATAGTGGATTCGAAAGACAAGACTTGATGCGAGACTGCGCCAGCTCGACAGATTGAAGCTTTCCCTAAAGGGGTAAGTTCGGCAGCCACCAGCGCCTATCACCTAGCCCACGCCCTATACTTAGTAGTGATTTATGGGGGAAAAGTAAAACGCTCAGTAAAATGTACTCATTTCTCAATGTTCGTCGTGATTCGGTCGATGTTGTCATTTGCGGTATCTTCTATATACCCTTCAATTAATCAAGGTCAAATTTACTGACGTCAAGTACTTGGATTATCTTTCCTTGGGGAAAATGAATGGCATTAGGGACCGCAAAGTTTAATACTCTGTGTGTTTTGTACTTACTACAGTAAGATTTAATGTGGAGTACTTGAGAGAAGTCTTGGTGCTAGTGGATAGCCCCTGAGGCACGCGTTACAGTCACGCCACCGCGATCTGGGCTGGCAGGTATTTCGTGCGAATATAAGGAGTAAATTCACACGCTCGGCTTTTCGTCGTTGCAGGTATCTTTGGTCTCTGCACTTCAATACTCCGATATTTCCATATTGTTCTTATCAAACCCACATGGAAGCAAACCTAATTCATTTGGTTGGCAGCGTCCAAAATATGTTTAGATGCTGTAAATTTAGCGGCCGCCTGCAATATTCCCGAAGCAACTTCAAGGACCATGTGCCTTCATATTCAGATTCAGCGCCGACACAAGATTTCCACAACTTGAACCTTCACCAAATCGTGCCCCAGCTATGTGGTTTTGTGCGGGATCTGGATATCTTAATTTCTGGGACCCATGCATCCAGGCCTTTTGGAGTAGTATTTTACCGACTGGCCTTGTTTTCGTCTTTTGTCTTGCAGCTATTCCACTTCCTCGAGCCGCCCAACAACTTGTCCTACCACTCATATCACCCTTAAAACATTTCCTTACTATTCAAGAAGCAGAAGCGCTCGAAAGAGAAATTCCAGAGGGACGATTCGAAGTGGAAACATCCAACCTAGTACCGCTCTGGCCAACTTTCGTACTTGCCTTTGTTGGAACCATCGAATGGCTCTGCTGGATAGCCGCAGGCGTTTACGGTCTATATGAACAAGATACGAACTCTTGGATGACCATACTGCCATTCTTTGTCGCATTGTCCTGGTTCTATACAATCATCCGGCAATTTTTTAACCAGGCCGTCACTCCTCCTTTTGATATCTTCGCCCTGTATATCGTCCTCTTCTCAGGATCAATTCTACGATTGGGAGGACTTCTTTTCGACTATATAGTATTTGGGAACCCACTGCCCTCGACCTTTACCCTAGCTGCACATCTGGTTAATTTATTGGCAATTCTCAGCCTTTTGGTCATCATCCTCAATATGCCACTCTCGCTCCCAAGCAGCAGAGTCAATCCCAAAGATATTGTAAGCTCAGCATATTTACTTTTGCATCTATTAACCCGGGTTATCAAGGGTCAAACTGTTTCTGCTGAAGATTACACCAGTCTTTGGGGTTGGATCACCTTTTCTTGGATTTATCCTCTTATCCGACGAGTGAGTTTTTTTTTTGCTATCTTGTGTAGAATTTCATTGCCGATGATACCTCAAGGGAAGATACAGTACTTTAAATGAAGACGACGTATGGGATCTCAGCCCTACTTCGCGTTCCAGACTGATTTTCACCAAGTTTTCTTCCCTTCGGTAAGTATTTCCGCATCGCCTTGTGCTTGACTCTGATCCCACCTAGATGCCAGACTCTCTTACAGAGACTGTGGCTATCGAATTCTCGGGATCTGATGTGAGTTTTTTTTGTTCTTGCCGCCGCCTATTCTTCTTCTGACAGTGATATAACCTCCTAGCATTGACTTTGTTTTGACTCTGCTATGTGTGGGCTTGAATTATTCTGGGCCGTTTTTCCTCAAGTCAGTGTGTCTTGAATGTTCAAGTTGTACCTAGCTAACTTCCGAATTCCTGCTAGGCGCATTCTAGACAGTGTAGACACTGCGTACCCAACCCCCGAAAGTCGAACAAAAGCTTACATATATGCATTCCTCGCTTTTGGGGTATCGCTTCTAAAAGTACCTGTTTCAAGTTTCACTATTCCGAGATTGGTCTAACCACGGTACAGGCCCAAACAGAGGCTCAGCACCTCTGGTACGGCCGGCGCGCGTCTATCAGGATCCGATCAGAGCTGATGGCCTCTATATACGACAAGGCTCTGAAGCGTAAAGATTATTCTGGCTTGGTCGATACAAACAAAGACAACCAAAACTCTTCAAGCCAAAAAGGAGATGAACTCAAAGATAAACGTTGGCTACACTTGTTAAGTATAACTTGCTCTCAACTGATGTATTTTCAGTGAATAAGGGTGGAAAATCCACTCGCGACATATCTTCGAAATCACACGAACCTAAAGCTGGAGCAGATGTGGGAAAAATTGTCAATTTGATGGCTGGGGATACCAATCGTGTACGCTAGTTTTGTTTTGGG